CCCCGCGGCTGCCACAGCAGGTGGGAGCCCAGGCCCTTGCACGAATTCCATGCATTGGGTCTCTAGTATATAATAAAAGACTAATACGCAAATGCCTAAGCAACCAGAACGGCCAGTTGCTATGATGTGCACTGACCACCAGGGGGCAGATGCTCGATGCAGGAGCTGCCCCCTGGTGGTCAGTGTGCTCCCACAGCCAACCTCCCCTCCCTGGCCAGCCAACCTCCCACAGTCCCTCCCCGTGGCCCCTGGTTCTGGGATGGGGAACCAGGGGTGGGTGATGGTGGATGCAGCCCCTTTTCCAGGGGGGCCAAGGGCCAACTCCCTCCTCAGGGCTGGTGGCCAACCTCCCGTGCCCCGGCCCTGATGGGCATGGCCTCAATCAGCCCTGATAGCCAGCCAGGCCTCGGGACCCCACCCATGCATGAATTTAGTGCACTGGGCCTCTAGTAAATTCACAATTCCTCATTACTTTGGCCTTGTGCGTTCCTCCTTTGGCGACCCTAACAGGTGGTGGTGTGGAGGTAGTAAAAATGGTCATTTCTGCATGGCTCCTGGCACCTAGTAAGCACTCAGCTCTCAGCTCAATGTTTACAAATACACAGCATGTGCTAGTATATTTTTTTAAATCACTATTTGGCAGAGGAGTGTTTGCACTGTATCTGGAACGGGTCTAGATGAAAGAGACTAAAGAGGCATGACCCCTAATGCAGTGCTTACCCTTGGATTAAAAATAAAACAGCTAGCACATAGGTACAAAGGGGGAGATGTTAATCTAGACTGTGTGTTGGGTCATAACACTGGATCAATGTTAAATTTCTTGAATGTGATCATTGTATTGTGGTTATAAGAACGCCCTTGGTTTGGAAATATTAAATACAAGGTGTGAGAATGTAATTTACTCTCAGGTGGTTCAGAAAAAAAGTATATCTTATTTGTAGAGAGAAAAACACTCAGAGTGGCAGAGAATGATAGCAAAAGGTTAAAAACAGGAAAACTAGGGGATAGGTATATGGATGGGTGTTCATTATATTATCCTATGCTTTTGAAATTTTTCAATATAAAAAGTTGGGAAAAGAAAATAAATAAAAAACAGAACACTTTAAATCTACCTTAAGTAGTATTAGAAGAAAAGCCAGAGAAGAATAATTCACACTCAGTTCTGAAACCAAACACAAATACTTTTTATTTATGAGATATCATTTTACATCAACTCCATTAAAACCTAAAACCAGTTTGCTGTACTCAAGTCAGGTGGCATAACAGTATCTGAGTTAAGCTGGGAGTCACAGGACTTGCACACGTTTATGAATGTAATGCAAATACTGACGACACGAAGCATTCACAGTTATAGGTTAGCTGCTGTTCCTTTAACAGTAGCCCCCGAGAGAAATTATAGAAATTATTTCATGAAAAAAAGCAACCCACGTTTTGGTCTCATTTACAGACACCCAACATTTTAGTTGGTCAATGAATTCTATACATTTATTATACAACATAACATATGAAAGAATAAAAGATAAGGCTTACAGAGGTATTTTAGCAGTTGTAAGATTAAAAACCAAGGGCACAAACAAACTTTTAAAGCTTTCCGTATAAACCTCAAAAGCACTATTAAAAGGAGACTGAGAGGCAATAGGAACCTGTTGCTAAACCAGAAGGTTTATCTAGTCGGACTTAGAAAAAACTTAATTCAGAGTTCATGCTTCAAAAGAGCTGCAGGGGACTTTACAGTGAGTGTTTATGGCAAATCAAATAATGAGCTTTCTAACCTAGTGCAACAGTAAACATCTAGAAGTTGTAGTGTCCGTTACAACAGACTATTGCAAAGTGGAGGTCAAAACAGTGGAGAGAGAGAAAGGATGTGTACTGGGTGATAAAGAAAACCAGAAGGCACCCTAATTTATTTAACATTAGCCAGTAAGTAAGTGTTTGATGACTGCTCAATTTTATGTAACTTAGGGATGCTTTTAAGAAAAGGTACCTTATTATATTGGCTGACTCCTTTTCCTCCCCTTAAAATAACTGCATAAAGCCAAGGAAACCAAGGGCCAAAGAGATTTATTTTTCAAGGAAGTTTACAGATTCGGAATTGTCTACATATGCAAGATTATCTCTTTAGAATACTTTCATATTATACATCATGGAAGTTTCTAGCTGGGATTTCCCCCATCATCAAAACGTTCTTGTGGATGAAATGTAACACCTGCCCTGTAACAGTCCTGAACTTACTTTAGGACTGACTGTGCTTAGTGCTTTAAAACAGCAGTCGCCTACCTTTGGGACCTCACGGACCACCAGTGGTCCGCGGCCAATGATTGGCGACTGCTGTTCTAAAGTCTCTACTCTCTAACAATAACTTTTAAAATACTCTCATCTGTGATTTATATTTATATGTACATTTCTGATTTATTGAACAAATGTAAGAACTGTTGACTTTACAGTGTTTCTGTTGTTTTTTTAATTCACGGGATACCTCTGAAAATGAATCAAGTTCTCCACAGAACTGAACCTACGGCCAATTGCCACTGGAATGACACCATCAGAACGGAGCCCCTTTCAACACATTGGTCTCATGAGCTGTGCTTGCCATCAACATCTCCAATTCTTTCCAGGTATTAATTTGTGCAAACTGGTATGAATTTATAAGGTAGAAGTGACTCCACAATTCCTAAACAAGGAATGATTAAGTATGCTTAATCACTACAGGGATTTTCAAACTTCTGGTTTATTTCACAGCAAACCAAACCTTTCTAATTGGTAGAAAAAAGAATTCTACCAGATCATGATTTTGTGTATGTGCACACACTGTATATACATACAAATTTCTGTCTTTGGTGGTTCAGTTAGAGAAAAAAATAATATGAAAATCTGAACACTGTTTGCAAAGAAACTGTGAAATAGTGGTTAAGAGTAGCATTGTCTGTGTGCTTCTCTCATTGAATGCCATTTAAAGGTTCACATTTAATCCAAAAGATTTTTCAGCCAGATTTTGAAATAATCCAAGCCTCTTCCAATCATGACATGTTCAATCATGAATCTTGCTCACACAGTAGCATTCACCGGTTCAAATGCACCATTAACTTTTTACTTGGTTTAAATCATTAGACTTTTTTTGTTTTCACAAAACTTTAGGGACTAAATCAGTCATTCAATAGCACCAGATAGTTGAGGGGAAAACATGTTATCTACACAGTTCCTAAAGGGTAAGGCAAGGGGAGGGAAATAAAAAACATAAAACACAAACCTAAAAGTTCCGTCCTGTTTACAAGTTCCTCATCCACATAAATAATGGCTATCACCTTTCTGTACAAATGACCCAGGTAACGATGAGCGGCCTCTCCGGGGAAGGTCCTACCATGTAACAGTTAGCGCAATGCTGGTGGTTTCCTATCCACTGCCTGCAATGGACATTCTGCCAGGAAAAGCCTAGCATGAAAGAAACAAAAAGGGAAACAAAACCCCTCTCACTTATAATAGAGTTCTTTTTCAAAACAACTAGAAAATTAGACACCACGAAAGCTTAACTAAAAATTCAAGCCACAACTAAAACTGCTCTGCAATTATCAAATGCCAGTAAACCACTGGGTTTCCATGGAGGAGGCAAACCCAACTTCACTTAGAATGGCATAGAAAGCATCAGCAGACCAAACACTGCCAAGAAGACTGCAAAAGAGAAAGAAAAATCTGCTAAAGCAAGTTTACAAGAGTTCAGAACTATTCTATTTTAAAGAAAAGGTGCAATGTTAATTTATTCATTTGTACCTATAGTCAAAGTACTACAGCTTTTTAACATTAGAAAAGAAAAACCTATACCTTGCATGGTGGAAATGATTGGTGACATGGTTGGTACATGTCTGTATGTTCAAATAATTATAGTTCCATCATTTAAAAATGCTAATATCCAGGTAAACCAATTACATTTGGCATATGCCTCTGCAAAGTTAGAACTCCCACCTCCTTCCAAAAGTTGGCCTCTTGAACAATAAGGTGAATTCTGGCAACATTTACTTATGGTAAAATTCTTCTGTTTTTTGAAATGCTACATTTGAGACCAAGTAAAGTATAATTGGTTCATTTGAAAAAAGGGACTAGAAATATGCCACAAAAATTATTTTTACAATACATTTTTGCAGAAATAATCTCTAGGTGAAGCTTTTTCTTTTTATACACATATACAAAATTTAAACAGCAATATACACATAATCACAGTGAGGACGTTGGCAAATTCACCAATCTGTAGTGTAAATACAAACTGCAAAAGCAGCCTTCCAAGAGAATAATGCTACACAGCAGGCAGAGCTGGCCCATTCAATAGCAAACACCAAAAACGTCCCTGCAAAAGGGAGACAGTGCAAGAAAAGCAGCATGCGCTTTGATACAAACAGCAATTTATGGCTAATGGCTGACATAACTGTGGTAACAGTGACTCTCGCGCTGCTATGCATACAGTCCTAGGACATCTGCTTGTCTTTATACCATTCCACAAACTCGTCCAACAAAACTGGCCCTGGAGAGAAAGAGAAAACAAGACAGCTGAGAAGGACGCGCAAATGGGCCACAAAGTAAAGAGTGCGAGGACACCCAGTGCTGGTACTTACATGCGCCATCTTCGTCGTAGTTGCTGAGGTCAAGGTTAATTGTTCTGCTAAACTCTAGCACATTGCACCACTGGTCTTTGTTAATAACTTTATATTTTGATTGCTGATGGAGGGAAAAGTAATAGGAATTACTGACATAACAAATGGGACGGTGTCAATTGCTGATGAATCAACTTGATACTGTTCATAAAGGTTAACTCTTTTTCCACTGGGTTGTTAAGTACCAGTCTAGGAGGACACTGAGAGAGAGCAAGTAGAACTTAAGATGACAACTTTCATTACAAAAATATTATGGGGCCCAACACAAATGACAAGCACATCAAAGAAACACAATTTTATATACCTAGAAGTGAAATTTCTAGACTGCAAAGGCCCTTTTACATAAAATGGGAGTAACACTTCCTTCATAGAGGTGTTGCAAAGATTAAGAGATAATTTAGGTAACTTACGTAAAGCCCTTCATTCATACTTGGCACACAGGAAGTGCTAAATAAAGCGTAGCTCCATGAATGAGCCCTGATATGACAAGGATGTACTGTGTCAAGCTCTGAGCTCAAGTACACACAGCAGTCGTTGAGGAAGTCTCAGACTAGGTGCTCTAGCCACTGAAGAAATGACTGTTCTAGTAAGTCAAAACTTCAATTTGGTCATAAAAGTAATCAGAATAGCCATGGAGTAGATTCCTATTCCTCTTAGACAAGAAATATGCCATATGTGTATTTTAAAATATAGTGTCATGTGTAAACATTTGAAAATAAAAGCTAGATCCAACAATTTTTTAATCTTAACCACTAATATCAGAAACAGTGGAAAACAAAACAAGCAGACAAAAAGCAAAGAGTTGATCCAATAGTTTTGAGGATGCAAACACAAGAACAGCTGAAAATGAAAGGATTACTGTCTCCTTTTAAAAGAAAAATGCAAACTAATAAGAGAACAAAGCAGACTACAAGTTTCACTTTCTAGGCACCTAAAAGCAAGAACCAGCTGGTGGAGCTCCTGGAACTGCAAAGTCAAACTGGCTTCAGGCAAGGTCCTAGGGCTAAAGGACCCATCACACTCAGGCTAATTCCGCTAAACTCTCTGAGAGCAAGAACCTGTTTCTACTCATTTTCCAAATAAAGCTAACACTTCACGGGATTGGCAAAGAAATTAGAACAGATCACTTGTAGTGTGAACTGTCATGTAAACAAATACTTCTTACATTAAAACTAGTTTTTATACCTTTCTTGAGCAGTTCCAGTTAGTAATGTTACAAGCGATTTTTAAATAACAGTCCTCAAAGAATCGTTATCAGTTGGAAGTTTTTCCAGACAATTACATAAAGTAAGTTGTAAGAAAGATTATTTCAAGAGTGAAGCCAGAGTCAGGACAAGACCTAGGATTTCCTCAAAGACTCAACACCTTCATCCTTTCAAACAGAGGACATTTTAAAAAGGGGTTTGGGGCAAAGAAGAAAAGGGAAGGGGTTTGGGGCTGGAGGACAAGAAGGATGCTATCTATATGACATCCCTAGTAACTCAAACCTCCATCTCATGTACTTCAAACTCCTACCGTATTACATTACATCCAAACTAGCTCCTCATAACCAGCAGCTCAAAGGTATTTATTATTCACCCTTAAAGCAACTGAACAATGATGGGGTACAGTGCTGGATCATTTCTAATATAAATGTGAAGAAAAATTAAACTGAAGGAGATTTTGTCAGTTTGCCTAACACTCAAACTAATTCCTGGTCCCCAAGTTACTTGGAGATAAAAGACGACTACATTACACACTTCTTTTAACAAAAAGGCTGATGCTTATTTTTTAATCTTTGCTTAATAAAAGTGGAAATTCACCTAAAGCCACAAAGGAAAGTAAATCTTGTTTTACTTTTGTTATAAAGAGCAGGAAATCTAAACAAAAGTAAAGCTTTTAAAATGGGGACAAGAGAGGAGCAAAGGACAGAGCAGTAGCTGTTTCTGATGCATCTGTACCGGGAGCGATGCAACACAATAAATTCACACAGACACCCGCAGAGAGAACAGGTCGTTGCTGATTGACAGCAGTTATGTCACCATAATTCCTATAGGCAGAAAGTATAACAAACAGAAAATTACATAAAATGGTTAAAGTACACTTGATAATTCTAAGCAAGCAAAAATACATTCCATAAAATAACAATTTGGTACCTCTAAGAATTGGTGAAAAACTGGAAAAAGGGGCCAGATTTTTCCTAATAACAGTCCCAACATGCACTTGGCAGTGTTAATGTCTAGGCTGCGCTGGTCCTTTTCCTGTTTAACAAACAAAAACAAGGATGAGCCAGATGCCCCAAATAATAAATTCCAATAATCCAAATTTCTATTTCACGTCAACAAGACATTAGCGAACAGCTCATTGACCATTTATCATACACCATAGAATCCCTGGGTCACGACTGAGGTGCGGGGGGGGGAGGCATCAAACAATGGAAGGCTTGCTCACTCTGGTACTATAGAAACATACTGTGAAAAGACTCATGTCAACTGAAATGATCACTCTAATGCAAAAATCAATTAGGTAGTAACAGTATCTACAATTATTTCATAGGATAAATAAAAATCTATAATCACTTGCTGTTTGACATTTACGATAATTACCAAAATCATAATTGCTCACCTCAAACAAAGCCCATAATTTAACTAAATGTTTAATTTAACTAAAGGTTTCAACTTCCATGCTTAGGAATCAGGTTTCCTTAATAACATTTTTCCAATCATTTATTTTGTTGGTAAATGTTTTCCTCGTACCTAAAAAGCATTGGAATTAAATGCAGCTCACAATAAAGGTTGGGGCTGTGGAGCTGCTCTCCAACTAAGGGGTTGTATTCATCCACTTACTCTGGGAGAAAACAGTCTGTCTACTACAGTCCTTCTTACCTTGGATTTGTTGGACGTGAACTCTCCTAGCAGAATACCCCTAACTAGCAACCAAGGGAAAGACAACATTTCATAAAGAAACCAGAAAAAAAGTAGTACATAAACCTGAAATGGGCACATGAAGCTCATTCCACTTATACTTGCCATTAAGGATCCTAATTTCTCATTCTCCACTTTCTTACAAATTTTCATTACAGCACTACAGGTGGGGTTGTTTCTATGTAAATGGACAGAGGACCTGGGGCCATAGGCCTTACATATATCCAAAGCTAGCTTCTAGGCAGTGTCTCACTTCAGTGGAAATTTGCAAAAGTACTTTTCTACAACCGGAGAAAGCTTCTGGCTATCCCATCTAAATGTTCACACCAAATTAAAGGCTGACACTGTGACCATCACTGTCAGCAACATATGCAGCCACGCATATCTCCCGATAAAATACAGCACTAATCCAAGGACGCTAGCAGTGAAGTACTCTTTAGTACACAGAGAATTTCTGGCCTTGACACTAAATTTAAAAGTGAAGGACTTAAACAATACAGCAAATGCAAGGCCTCATTCAACAACAGCAAACACGATAGATGAAGATACGGGAAGATGTGCGATAGGTCTGTCCTTTGGTCTCAGGCATACAACATAATGACCCTCACCAACAGACCAGGAAAGATGGCTCCACATCACCCTGCTCTGTTCCAGGCACACAACTTAAGTCTGGTGACAGTGGGGGTGCCCCAATTCCACAGTTCAATGCAAACAGGTGGGGCATCCTTTCCACAGCATTCTCTGCCTGTCCTTTGGCCACGCACAGCATCCTGTTCAGGACCATAGTACTTAGTCCTGATGGAGAGGAGGACAAGAAAAAAGGTGCTCTAGAGACTGTCCACCTTTTGCCAATCAAGCCTCATTGGTTTGTTACACTGCAAAGGCTTCTACTTCTGTGACACACTGTGCAAGAAATGCAAACTTCCTCTTACCCTGTAACACAGGTGTAGCAGATGGCAACAGCACACCATACTGTGAAGCAATCCGCATGAAAAATGAGTACACTGCTGAAAACACACGTGGCACCACAGGACTGGGCCGAAGTTCGCCTGTTGAACAACAGCCCATGCAGCACCAGGCTGACAGCACTGGTGCTTGGGAAAAGTTTTCCCTTGGAAAAGTTTGTAATCATTCACTAAATCTAAAATCATTGGTCTTGCCATGACACATATTGTGCCTTTTCCCCCACATCATCAACGCCTATGTCCCCATCACAATGGACATACACCAAGATGACAAAAAGAAAAAAAAGATACAAAAGACCTGGACAAGACTCTGCAACAATATAATCATCTGACAAACTGATGATCATGAAGGACTTCAATGTATGTTTGGTTGGCAGTGATGCCCAGACGGAGAAAGGCATCAGACTCACAGGACCGGAAGCTGAACAGCACTCACTCACTCCTGCTCTGCAAGGGTGCCAGCCAGCAGCTCTCAATCACTACCACCATCTTCTGCCTAGCAAATAAGAGAGAGATATTATGGATGCACTCAAGATCTGAACAGTGGCAACTCGCTGGTAACCAATGTTGCCGGTGGGTAGATTGGAGGCTACCTGCAAAAGTCCATAATTGGAAACACTCAAAATTCCTAGGAACAACACAGTCGAGAGACCCCACAACAAAAAGCTACTGAACATCAACATGGAGACACGCCCGGGGGTTCTCTGACAGCAATGATCCTAATGGCATTCTCTGCCAAGGAGTTCCCAATGAAAAGTTACATGAATCTCCCACAATGCTATGAAGCAGGGCATTTAAAAAATGATAATCACCATAACTCATTCAAAGAGTATAGCAAAGCCATCTAGAAGCTCCTCGCAAGAAATCGCAGCAGTGTACTGCAACACTGACCCTGCGGGCAGGCGCCTACTCCCAGGTCAGTCTAAGCAGAAAGAACCTTGAGACAGGCTGTCAAGAGTCAATCAGCATCCCCAGCAAGCCCATCAAGGTGAAAGAAGAAATGAAACTTTTCTCCCTGTCCCTCTCTTGACTCCAGATGTGCTGGTATGTATTTCATAAATTTTAATTTACATATGAGATCAGGCCTCTCAGTGGTACAGCTATAAAACCAAAGGATCCTCCTCTGAATATTCTAAGTTATGTGTTGTATATGGAATAAATGCACTCTGCCAGCTAAAGACTAGTAATAGCTAGTGTACAGAATAATGACATTTTACTAAGGTCTGATTTGAAGTTCTAATATGAAAAAAAATAAATTACTGCCTTTGTTTATGTAAGGCTATTCCAGTATAACTCTTCCTATGATATGTGAAAACTAAGCATTTTTTCTTTAAATGGTGCAAATGACTTAAGAAACAATAAATGAACAAATAGGTAACTGTATGTATGCAAATGTAAATATTATAAAAATGAACCTCTAACCGTCTAGGTATCCAGATATGCTATTCAGAGGCCCCCAACTATTTCAGATGACCTATTTTCAATTTTCACAAAGCTTTGATAGCTTAAGACCTGTATGTGAAAAGGGGGACATTTAATGATTAAAATCATTAGGATAAAAAATCTTCAACAGGAAAAACACTCCTAAGATTTTCAAGAATTAGTTGTTCTAAAAAAAAAATATATAAGCGACCATGATTCACAAACAGTGGCAACCAAGTAAGAAATTGGTATGTGAAATCAAAAGGACTAAAATGAAGACCTATGACATACATCACAGAATTCCATCTGAGACCACAGGGATTATAAAAAATAGCGAAAATCCAGTTCTCCTTAAACACAGCTCCCTAAGTCAACAGACACAGGTAAAAATAGAGAGCTTTATCTTGAATCTTAAATAATGTGATTCAGTTTATAAAATGGAAAATTAAGTAAATCAGTTTTTTTAATTTTTAAAAAATATATTTTTTATTGACTTCAGAGTGGAAGGGAGAGGGAGAGAGAGAAATATCAATGATGAGAGACAATTATTGATTGGCTGCCTCCTGCACACCCCACACTGGGGATCAAGCCCACAACCCAGGCATGTGTCCTTGACCAGAATCGAACCCTAGACCCTTCAGTCCACAGGCTGATGCTCTATCCACATAGCCAAACCGGCTAGAGCTAAATCAGTTTTTTTAATGAGAGCTGGGTTTCTTCCTTTTTAATATACATTTTAAAAAACCACACAAGTCATAAAAACCAAGAGTATCATCCCACTGGGAAAAATGAATCTAAATAATTACGCTCTTAGAACGTACCCAGCATTATTTACAGATACACTGTTTGCGAGGTAATTAATTAAGCTTAACTATTTCCTTAACAAAAGAAAAAAAAATCTGCCAATGGGCACAGTCTTTCCCCATGATTTTATTTGGTAGAGATTCTATTACTAAGCATTACTCTCGGAAAATAATGAGGTTTTGTGCAGGCACCTAAGTAATGTTAGTGAGTAATAATTTAAACAACTAGTTCTAATTCTATGATTAACTTTTATTGAGAATTTAATCTGAGCCAGAAATTGTTCCAAGTGCCTTATACTTAAATTCATTTAATACAACAACCCTTTTAGGATAGGCATTATTATTAGCCCCAATCCTATATAATAAACGCCTAATACGCAAATCGGCCAAACAGCGGAACCACTGGTGGAACGACTGGTTGCTATGACACGCACTGCCCAGGGGGCAGATGCTCAACACAGGAGCTGCCCTCAGCCCACAGGCCCCAGGCCAGCCAATGCGGTGCCAGCGGGGGCCCCACCAGTTGCCCCACAGATCAGCCCTTATTGCCAGCCAGGCCTAGGGACTCTACCAGTGCATGAATTTCATGCACTTGGCCTCTAGTTTATAAATAAGAAAACTGAGGCAAGGGGGTTAAAATGACAGTAAGTGGTAAAGCTGGGACTTGAACCTGGAAATCTCATTCCAAACCTTCATTGTGGACCACCTTGCTTCCCTGAGAAGTGATGAGGAAAAAGAGATTTAAATATAAACACACACAGTCCAATTAGCTTTATAAGTAATTGCTGAGCAAATCTGTGTCTGTAATAACTAAGAGTAATTTTTTAACTGAGGTATAATTGACACACAATATTGTATTAGTTTCAGTTGTACAACATAGTGACTCAACCTTTACATACATTATAAACAAAGAGTAATCTTAAAGATAAAACTGCCAAGGTTTTCAGGGTAACAGACCTGGGATCAGATGACCATATTCTCCCTACTCTTGTCTTCACCTAACCTACTTTTTCTTTCCTTTGTAATTTCCAACTAAAAATATGAGAAAAAAGTAGAGAGCTGTGTGTGTGGTGTGTTGCGAGAGTTGTGTGGAGAGGAAAACAAACAGATTGACAAATACAGTAGTGAAGAAGTGAGAAACTGACTC